ACACACACACACACACACACACACACACACACACACACACACACACATTCTCCCTATTATTCTGTGTTCAATTTCCATAGCTGCCCCTCAGAACAACTTTGCTGTTCACTTGGGAACCATGCTATCTATGTTCTGGCCTCACCTGGTGAGAACTAGTTCTCAAATGTGAAGGTACATGCTTCATGCTGTGAGGTCAAGACTGTCTACATTCAAATGGATGTGCCTACTAAGACCAAACAGCCATCCCTGGTGGCTGGAGAAGTCTGTGGCCCTCAGGGTTGCCAATGTGGGGACTAACCCTGTGACTGCAAGTCTGTGGTTTGATGATTCTCTGGACTAAGTATAAAAAGGCTGGTGGTCTTGGGCTGCCTCAGACTAGTGGTAGGACATAGATCAGTATGTTTCCAGACCTTTTCTGTTGTTCTTGGGAGGCCTGGGTCACTTCACAGTGTGCTTCCTTGCTCCTCACTAGTGCCTCCCAGTTCTCTAAGGAAGTGATAGGCCCGAGGGAGAACAATTAGACCTGGAGTCATACCAAGAAGACATTATTCTCCGATAGATGCTTTACTACAGAATAATTACACCCTATAATGCTGCTAATAAATCAAGTTGGGTAAATGGTGACGTCCACTGTATCACCCCATCTGCAGAAGCATTTTTGCTGTGCTGCGGTGGATGGAACTCACCCAGGCCAAGGTCCTGAGCTGCAGGTCTGGATGGAGGAGGAGAGGTGGGGAAGGCAGAGCTCTAGCAAATACCCATGAATTAGAAAAAGACAGTCCTAGGAGTATATGCCTGTATGTCCCAGGTTTGTACTCTACTGGGTCAGGCTTTGTACTAGCAGCTGCACCAAGATGGGGAGGAGGGGCTGTCTTTGTACTGATCTGTTGGGAGCCCAGCTACATCCTGGGACCACACACAGCTATTAAGCCCCATGGTATAGTCAGAGGGCCAGGCAGAAGAGACACTGAGGCCTGGACATTGAGGAACTCTTCATTCTAGGTCTGGACTGCCATTCAACAAAAAGAAGTGCTAACACTTCTGGAAAGGTACCACATTGTGCAGACTCCAGTGACAGGTCTGTATCCCAGAGTTTTGTCCAGTCGTAGTGACTCCAATGTGCCCATGTAGCCAGTGACTTTTCTGGTTTTTCTTTCCTTATTCCTTGTATCTCTGAACCCACAAGCCCTTTCCTACCTTGTAGGCGAAGTGGACTTGGACTGTTCCAGGTACCCCCACTGGTCATGAGAACCTGGTCTGGGCCTGGCAGGATCCAGTGTCATGAAACATGGGACCCAGCAAGGCAGGAAGCCTTGGGAGAGGTCATCTGCTAACCTGGAGGATCTGCCTATAGTCCAACTCTGTGAGGGCATGATGGGAAAGACTCAGGCTGCTTTGTACCCTGGCCTTAACTATCTAGTCTGAAACCTGAGGACATTTGACTCTGGTCCCAGCCCAGACTGTGGGCCTAGTACCGAGCAGGGAGAGGAAAAAACCCAAGGGCTGTGCTTACCCGCTCCACAAGGCCATGCTTGTGCTTCAGCTTGTAAACCCTCAGTGCTGGCAGGAAGCTCTCTGTGTAGTTCTTGTCCTCCAGCCCTTGTAGTAGGACACCATGGAAGGCCAGCCGGCATGTGTTGGTGTGAATGTCGGCATCTAGTCTGGAGCCAATCACCAAGCAGAGTTGGGGGCAGGTGACTGGCTTCTCAAACTCTACCAGGGCCCACTGCTGCCGGGGGCAGTGGCCCCCTGGGGAGTGGCCTGCTTTTGTGTCTGCCTCATCATCACCTTCTGTGGCTGTGGGCATGGAATCCTTGCACAGGTACTGCTCTTGGAAGAGGTATTCTCGGGAAAGGTCGAAGGAATCTAGCATGGGCTCCAAGTCAAAGTTGTCAGGAGCAGGGCTGAAAAACAGCATGCGGCCCATGACTGTCTCATGGCCCACTGTGATATGGAACTTGGCCTTGGTCTGCAGGGGTCCCCGGAAGTAAGGGATCTTTTCCACAGAGATGAGGGCTGCATGAACGGTGTGCAGAGACTCAGGTGCACATACCAGCCCACGCTCCAACAGCTTGGGGTCAAACTGGGTGACACAGATGCCCAGTCGGTCTCCTTGCATGGCAGAGGTGACAGGTGTATGGAACATCTGCATGGACTTCACTTTCTTCACCACCTGATCAGGAGCAAGAGGGAGAACATGTGAACCCATAAGTCTTGCAGCTGGGGCTTAGGTCATTCTTCCTCTGTACCCCCAACAACCACCTACCCCCAGTCCTAGTGGAGGTCCAGACAAACAGCAGAAAGTAAGCCAGGGTTCAGTCAGACCCCTGTGGGCAAAGAAAGAAGTGTCCCAAAAAGCCAAGGCCCAGGATGCAAAGCTAGACCAACTTTTCAAATCTCATTTCTGTGCCAGCACAAGAACAGTGGTCACCTCAGTCCACTCTGTCCTCTAGAAGCTGAGTCGCCCAGGTTCTACAACCTCCAACTTCTTCCTTTTTATCAGCTATTCCAGAACATTCTAGCCCTCACAGCCTTGACATCCAGCTCCTCAGCCTACCGGTGTGCCACTTGCTTTGAAGGCTTGGGTCAGATGCCAGGCTATAGAGTCTGTGACTAAGAGAAGGACTTGCTCTCGATTCCTGAGGGGCCTGTCCCTCTAACTCTCCTCACCCATGAAACCCCCACTGTCCAGCTTGTGTCTGCCTGCCAAGGCTGAGGGCTCTCTAAGAAGGGTCTTCCTCCAGTTATTCCACATGGTCTCTGTGTCTTCTATGTGTCAGCCTCTATTTCAGGAGAAGGACTAGAGCTAGTTCTATTTCAAAGAGCTCAATATCCAGGAACATGAAAAATGATCTACACAGGTCACACAGCTCTATCAATGCTATTTTATATAACATAAACTAGTGTATAAAAATGTGTCGATATTTTCTGAAACACAATTCTACAATGTAGGTGCATGAAACATGAGACACATGACAAGGCCTAGGGCTAGGCAAGCTCTGGCTTTTGCACAGGCAGGCAGAGGAGCACTACAGAAGCAGCCCCTGAGCTGAGGCCTATAAAACTCCAGAGCAAAATAGCTTTAGGCAGAGACATCAGTAAGGGCCAGGCCCAGAGATGGTGGTGTGTGTGAGGCTAAGCAGTCAATAAAGAGGCAGGAGGGCGACTGGAGGCCAGAGGTCAAGGCCTAGGCGCCATGTATATATGTGGGCCTGCCTGGAGTCACCAGAAGGGCCAATGTGATCTTATCTCAATTTCTGAAAGGTAACACTGACTCCATACAGAGCAGACTTCTGCCTTCACAGCCTGCAAATCAGGAGCAGACACAGCAGAGCCCAAGATGGTGGGCATACCTCCTAAGCCCCAATCATGAGGTGCCATCAAATACTTTCTGTTGAACAAAGTAGAGTACATGGAACCCATTTCAGAAAACCCAGCAAGAGGAATGGAATGAGTCTGTATTTTTATGATTCAGCTACCAGCATCCCTGTCACCAGGGCTGGAGGTGGGCGTCTACACGTTTCCTCCTGGAGAGAGGGTGAATGCTCTGCTGGTGGCACTCTGGACCAGAGCCTTTCACCAGAGTATCAAACTCAAATGTTTGTTTAAAGATCATTAACTCCCCACCCACAGGGTCAGAGGGCAGCGAAAGTGAGAAGCAGTGTCAAAAGCTTCAGCCCAGATCAATCAAAGAGAAATGCAAGCCTTCTCTGAGGTGGCCTAGGAAGCAGTGGGTGATGGGGGTAGGGTGCTGAGGTTGTAAACTCACAGAACATCTCCCCTCTCCCTGAGGCAGTGCTCTACTCTACACTGCAGATCCCAGGAGAAAAGTATGTCACAGTCTCACCTGGGCTCCGGGTTCATGGCTTATGACTTTCCTACCCTTCTTTTCAACTTCAGCACTAGGAAAGGTCTTTAGTCAACTAAGGGCCCCTTTACATGGGTAGGCTGCCATAGTCCTCAAGACCACCTGGTAAGCACTCTCGAGAAGGTGGCCCTCCCCCCACCTCCAATGAAACTCTCCATACAGCCCAGTTGTACAGCTTCCACATCCCACATACTCAATACCCTTTAAGCCACATCTAGAGGCCTCGGAACTAAGTCCCCCCACATAGTGATTCTGAATGTTCCTGTGGTTTGCCAGGATTCGCCTCTTGCTTAGGTTTCTTCTTCTTGACAAAGTCTTGATGTCCTGACCTGAGCATCCACGGTACTATGGGAAGGGCTTTCCTAGATGCATCCTAAGCAAAGCTGCACACTCTGATCCTGTTCCTGCTTTACAGGGCAATCACCACTTCTGCAAGGTGGGCTTAAATCTCAAGGCAGTGAGCACCTACCTGCAAGCCTATCAATGACTGTCCCTCCAGAACTCCAATGTCACCAGTGCTTCATCCTACTATACACTCCCTGCAAGCATGCTGCATGCCAACAGTGCAGGGACCTGCTATCTAGAATTTGGTGTTCTGCATTCCCTCTTTTTTTCTACACATGTATGACTGTATACAGGCGTGCAAGTGCAGTAGTTGCAGATTGCACTGCCTTATATGAGTGGCTGGGCTTTCTGAAGGAGTGCCCCGTACATAGATTACTGAGAATGCCTATATAACCCTCAGGTATCTGAGGGGTATGTACCCACAGGTCACTGGCTGGGGAATGCCTGAGCTAAGTGTGTCTGAAGTGCTTGCTGTTGCTGCTGGAAGTCCTGAGATAAGTCTCTTCTCTCACAAGGATCTGATCAGGAATCTATATGCAAGGTGGCCTCTCAAGGACTCAGACCCTGGAACATAACTCGAAGGTCTCAGAAGTGAAGGTTCAGTTCTGTTAAGCACAGAAATATACTTCTACCATCAGAGTATGACCCTAGCTGCAGTACATCTTTATAGTCTGGCATTGCCAGATTTCTTAGTGTTTGCTAGTCAAATCTGGGTGTCTCCACTTCTAATTCAGATGTGGGCTGTAGGTGTGATCTACTCGAAGTCCCACTGTACCCTCAGCACCAGCACCCCCACCATCCCATAGGCTCAGCATGCATCCAGCCCACTGGAAGAGATGGACTGCCCCTTGCAGCCACATCACACCCTGCTGAGATTCCAGATCTGTCTAGGCTTGACTAGAGCTTCTTCACAGAGATGGCTGGGGGCTTGCTGCCCCCACCCAGCAGTAGGCGGACTTCTCTCACATGCTCCCCTTTCAATAGGCTCATGTTCTTAGGACTGAAATAATAAAGAATGCCTTGCGAGGGCAGAAGAGCAGAGAGGCAAATAACTGAAGATCAAGATTCCAAGGGCCGACACAGGAAATTGTGAAGCAGATAAAGACGGGAACAGGCAGTGTGCCGCTACTCTGGCTCTCCAGGGCACATGCACAAAGTATTACCAGTTGTCAGTGAGCTTGCATTCCACCCAGGGGGGCTAAGAATAGAGGGCTGACCTAGACACTAACAGTACAGAATCAGGTTTTCCTTCCATTTGTTAATTTCCTAGTTTTGTGAGACTCTATGCACTCACTCAAGGACCACTGGGCTTTCCTCACAGATGCAGATGGCCTCAGCATGTCTGCCACATATCTCTCACATGAAAGTCCAGGCCCAAGAAATCTGCAGCATTGGGTCTATGGGGTCTGCTACCTGTAGATGGGAGCAATAGCTCAATCTACAACTAATGAACGTTAATTGCACAACTGTGGGAGCTACAGTGAGAGAAAACAAAGTAGGCTTTAGGAGAGCTAGCCAGCATCCCTGAGGAGATAGCACTGGGCTGGGACCAAGAGGAAGAACTACCACGCTTAGGAGGCCCAGCAGTTGGGGCAGAGCAAACCTAAGGTCCCTGCAGGGAGAGCCTGGTCCTTTGAGAAGCTAGAAGTATGCAGGCTGCTGGGGGTCTGGTTGAGGTATAAGGCTGTAGACAAAGGGAAGCTAGCTCTACCATGTAAGAGGGTCAAATCAGTGATGAGCCTGGGATGATGCCTTTGAGTTTGTTTTCTGAATCAGAATTTTGTTGTATAGCCCAGGGCGGCCTTGAACTCAAAAGTTTTCCTGCCTTAGCTTCTCGAGTGCAAGGATTATGAATATGGCCCCCATGCCTGGCTTGTGTGCATCTTTAAAGGAATACTTTGGCTAAAAAGTGGAAAACAGATGGAAGGGAAATGAAGCAGGACAGAGGGAAACTGACCAAAGAAGATTCTCAGAGGTCAAGTTCTATTTTTGTTGTTGTTAGTGTATTTTTGAGACAGGGTCTCATGTTCTAAACTTCTGACTCTCTTGCCTCTATCTCCCAATATTATAGGTATGTGCCATCATACCTAGCTTCAGAATCTATGTTAGGATGAGGAAGACAGGGGGACAAGGACATGTTCCAGGTCTTCAGTGGAAGACTTGTCTTGTGTTGGGTGGGGACAGAGGGTCTGAGCTCAGGAAAGGTCTCAGTATCACATAGCCAATGGCCTAGCAGTAGAGTCCTGGAGAAGGGGGGGCAGTATTTAGATGACAGAGTCCCCTCCCCCCCCCCCCCCCCCCCAAAAACCTGGCCTCAACAAAGCCAAAAAGTTTCTTTGGCTTCATTGTTTCAAAATGGTAGCTCTAATTCCCAGATCTTAGATGAAATGTGCACGCTACTTCCCTCTTCCTGTGTTCACATAGCTATACCTCTGTCCCCAAGAGCAACAGCCTTACTTTCTAGATGGGCACAGCATAGCCTTATCATGGCCCCTACTATGCCCTGGTTCTCTGGTGAGCAGTCAGAATGGCCCAGAGGCTAGATAACAGGGCTGGGATATTGCTGTGCCCTGATCTCAGCCCAGCTGAAGAAAGAAGGTGCAAACTCAGGGAGGATGCAGAGGGAGGAGGAATACATCAAGCAGGCAAACAATTTTCTAAAACTCAAGTCTGTGCTTGCTAAGCACTTTGGTCCTTTCTGATTAACAAAGAGGCTTTACCATCATTTGGGTCAGTTATTGTACATAAAAACCCCACGAGATAGGTCAATATTTTTACATTCAATTTTATGGATGAAGAAACAGAGGTTTGTGATGTCTCCAAGGTCACAAAGCAAACAGACTGAGACTTGGGACAATAAATGCCAGGGCTGCAAGGCAGGCCTGACACTCGCAGTCTCATCTCTTGAGCAGCTGAGCAGAAACAAACCAGGTCACTGGAGCTGAGCATAGATCACTCTC